TCACATGAGAATGATGTGTACTAAAAGAAATAAGAATAAATTGTGGTCATTAGATCAGATATTTTAGTGGCTAAAAAAAGTCAACATTATACCTTCATTAAGGGTATTATAGACATTTACTCACACACAAATTATTCACCACATTAATAGGCCCCACCAGTAAAGACATTGCCAGTACTACCTATATGTCCACCTACTCTCTCTCTCTCTCTCTCACACACATACACACCCATTATACACAGTAGATACAAATGCACGCCGCACACACACACACAAGAAACACAACACACACTCACCGGCGAAACACACGCACTCACCGGCAGGTAAAAACATTCAGCCATCCAGCCGCCACCGTCGTCATGCTGTCGTCGCCGTTCCGATTCTGCCTCTATCACGCCTCCCCACCGCCGCGTACCGCCACCGTCGCCGAATCTCGTCTGCAAATTTTCTGTCGTTTCCTCAGTCGCCACAGTTTCTAACCTTCGCCTTCTCAGCCGCCGGATATCGACACTGCAGAAACGTCGGACGCCGCAGGTTCGTCGTCATTTTCCTGTCCTTCCTCCCTCCCATCGCCGCCGACTACATCTCCATCTTTTCGGCTTCGTCTGCTGCCGATTTCATGCAACCGAGGATTCCAAACGCCAACATCGCCGTTTCTCAGCATCCTCTGACCTCCAGCTCAACTCCAACTCCAGGAGGTCGTCTCCTCCGTCGACAATCTGTAGCGGCAAGTTTCCTCGGGGGGGAGGGGGGGTCGGCTCACGACGACGCCTCGAACAATTGGCTCACGACGGCGACTACGACGACCGAAAGTCGCCGGAATATTGATGTTGGTTCTGCGCAAATTTTTGAAAATTTGATAGTTTATAGGGACTTGATTGCAATTTCAAGAATTTATATTATATTTCAATTTAACCACCCATGGGTTAAATATGCAATTTATACAATGTATATAAAAAATATTATATATTTTTTCTACATATATATGTATTGTAGTTTTGTAAAGAAAAATATTATAAAAATATAAAAGAATACTTAATAATAAATATAAATATAAATAGTAAATTATTTCAATTATTAATATTAATTCGATGTACAATTTTATCTAATAATTACGGTTTTAAAGAAATAAATAATTTATATGTGATCGCATAAAGTAGTACACTTAAATATATCAGCACGATGAATTTTATAAAACAAATCGTTGCACTGTATAAAACAAACTGTTGCACTTTATTATAATTTTTTTATAAAAGAAGAATTGGTTATTGAATATTTTAATATTTCATGTTTTTTAATATATTATAAAATTATCAAAATATTAAATAAAAATATTAAGTGAAATATTATTTTTATATTTTTTTAAATATTATAAAATATAAAAATTATATTATTAAATAACAAATTATATTTTTACAAATAATAAAAAAAATAAATTATTCTCTTATAAAAACATCATAATAATCACTAATAATTTATACTTTTAATAATAATAAATAACAATAAATTTTTATAATCTAAAAATTATTAATATAATAAATATATTTTTATCATAATAAATTGTTTCAGTTATTTAGATTGATTCAATGTACATTTATATCTACTAAATTCAGTTTTAAAAAACACATAATTTATGTGTGATCATATAAAGTAGTGCACTTTATACATCAATACAATGCACTTTGTAAAACATTACGTTGCACTTTATAAAATAACACGTTGCACTTTATCACCACACTCCACAATTAACGTCAAAACTAAAACAAAACATTAATAAACGTTGAAAAATAAATATAATTTTATAATATAAATAATAAATTATATATATTATAATATTATTTAGATTAGTTCAATTAATTAGTCGAATAATTGACCAAATAAATCAGATTTAGTTTGGTGTGGATCGTACTATTAAAATGCCTGCAATCGGACGCACATTATTGCTATACGACTCTGTTAGAGGTATGCTGTAAAAGCTATGTTTTGCAGATTCTATCAATTCCATTTTGATCTGGCCATCATGTTTCGGTCAAAGTACATATGCTTGCAGTTTATTTATTTACGCAATCATACTCATTGTCTTAAATTGAGATAGCGTGGTTCGAAGTGTTTCAGGCAGAAAGATCACCTATCGATTCTTTGTAAGACTAAAATATTCGTTCACAGTCTAGACAGATAGCTAAACCCCTCTTGGACAAAGACTGTAGTGTATTCTTGATTCAGTTGGTCTTTGACTGAAGAATTACACTAGCACTTATGATATGTGTTGAACAGGACCACAGAAGGATAAGATTATGAGACTCACTGATCATTGTTGTAATCTAGACCTTAAGTAATTGATGCGTATTCTTAAGCTGTAAGATAATATAAAATAGGCATATGTATTCATTATTTATTTATTTGATTTATCAAGGGTGATTTCTATTTTGCTAGGATGACATACTCGGTGTTTTGGTAAATAAGTGTGTTTATATGATGTGCTGTTATAAATTATTTACGGTCACTGTGTCCCAGTGCGCTGGGTTGATGACGTCCCCGAAATGAGCTCAGGAATGAATATTATGTCAAACCCTGTAGGCGGATGTGTTCCGACATACTGATTAAGGATCTAAGTGGTACTAGTTTCAGAAATGAATAAGAAGTTAATTAAGTATTTTATGAGTAATTTAATTAATCAACGAATATTATATCCTAAACATGGGCAGATAAAACGATCAATTAGATTAATATATTTAATCAGTGGAGACGAGTTAATTATAATTCGGAGCTAAATGGGGAGAGCAATAATATTACTCTAGTGGAATGTTTTATTATTTAATTCCTATATTAGGAATTAAGAATTATTTATATTCCATATTTCTTTAAGGATGTGAATATTCCTTCTAGAATATTACTTAGGGTTAGGAGACTATGGAGTCTTCTAGAAGGTAATTAAATATTAGGAATATTATCCTAGATGGTAAAATGAGATGGATGATAATAAAGATTTCTAAACCTAGAGGAATAAACCATGTTTAGCACCTCCTTTTGGTCCCTATTGTAGCCTATAAATACACTAAGTCCCCTAGCCTCTGCAATGTGGATCACACGTTTTTCTCCCCGAAGGGCTGGAGAAATTCGGCCTCTTCAAGTGAGAAAGAATGAGAAAAATTCTTCTACGAGAGAAAATTCGGTTAGCACCGTGAGGTCTTAGAAGAAGATGATTGAGAAGCTTTGGGAGATCTAATAAATCGCTCAACCAAGATTTATTAGAGTTCGTGTAAAGGTCATACAATAGAAGATTCGAAGGTTGTTAATTCCCGTTTCCAATCTCGCTTCTTTCTTTGAATAAGGGGAGTATCCCGTTGAATATATTTTATGCGTTCAACTCGCCGGAATTTTTCCCAGCTTTCTGTCCAATTTCCGCATCCTATCTGCGACCAGAAATTTGCGCATCAGCCCAGCATTGTGTGGCCCGTTCTCGCGATCAAGCCTACAGGTGCACAGCCTGTCCGCAAGAGTCCAGGTCCACTTCTTGCGCGCGCCCAGTCCAATACGCGAAGTAGACGCCGCGGCCCAATACATCGCGATGCCCAGCAGAGTGAACAAAAGCACGCGGGCTGAGGGGCCCGCTAATGCCCGCGCTCCTCTATGTCCTCAGCCCGTGCACGACCCGCGTGTTGGCCCGCGTCCAAGCCCGCAGCTCTCTCAGCTCCCGGTCCGCA